TATCGGCAGTCGAAACACACGATCCTCATCACGCGCGCCCGACCTATCCGTGGCCTGCCTGTGCGCGCGCCCACCCGCGCGTGGCCTTGTGCGCCACTGCCAGGCAGCGTGCTGCCAGCGCGCCCATGTACGCGGGCTGCACCCGTTGGGCACCCAATTCGCGTGCCTTCCGTTCCTTCGAGCCACCTGGTTCCTTAGCCATCCCGACCAGGTTCTAATACCATGATAGCCATCCCAAAACCTCCGATAGCACTTCTTTCCGAGGCGTGGTCCCGCCCGTGCACGTCTACGCCAATGCGCGTGTTTGCGCCCTTCCTTGCGGTCGTCCCACGTGCGCGCTGTCCACCCAACATCCACCCCTCGCGCACCGATCGTCTCCCTCGCAAAGTAAACGTCCGAGACCATAGCCTCCACACATCGTGCGCGTTGCTTCCTCGCACACACCTTGCACCATTCGACCACGCCGCTCAAGCCTTCAAGCCTCAAACTCTTGAGCTTCTTGCTCGACCTCCTCTGTCATTGTGCATGTCGGCACCCTCGTATACGTACTCGTGCACGTCTCCTAGGCCATGCAAGCCTCGTTAGCGCTCTTTGCTTGGCCTTGTCCATTAGCCTCGGCCCTCGGCCTTTCTCATCATCGGGGGTCAAAACCCACTTCCGTATCATTCTCGCCCCCTTAAAGAATGTCCTTGTCCTCAAGGACTTGTCATCGACCATTAATTGGGGCGTCATCACCTCGACCACAACATCTTCTTTGGACTCGACCCAAATGCCTTCAACCTCGACAAAGTACTCATCGGGATATACATCGAAGATAGGCGGTCCTTCATAACCCGTTGACTCCTTTATGTACTCTCGACCTTTGGGTCCTTAAAATATTTTGAGAATTCAAACATAAGGAAAGGCTCCTTACACTTTGCGTTGTCATGACCTTCATCCTCGGGGTATACGTCGAAGATAGGTGGGCCATCATAATCTGTCGAGACTTGCTCGACCTCTTCGCAATAGTCGACGAACCAAGGGAGCTCTTTGTACTTAACTGGCTCGATCGTGTTCGCATGTGCGCTTGCATCCTCGATGGTGAAAGTCTGGCCGCCTCCACACCAAACTCGCTCAATACTCTTGAGACCAACCTCCTTGGTCCTGCCATTCTTGCTTGCCTTTAACGTGAGTCGGTGCTCTCCTGAGTCGAATTCCATGAGTCCCATCCGGTAGTCGGTGGTCACCTTTCCTAACCCTTGGAGCCATTGTACTCC